GTGACACTGGGTGGCACTGGGTGGCACCGGGTGCCAATCCCCGCTCCCCCCGTGTCACTCGGTGTCCCTTGGCAGGCGCGGTGACACCGCTGGCCCTGGGGACAGCGCTGGCCTGCGCCGTGGCCACCGTGGCCGCGGCCGGAGCCGCGCTGGCCATCGGCCTCAGGCGCCGCAATTCCCGATAAAGCCCGGAACGAGCCACGGCAATCCCGGAAATTCCCACGAGGATCGATGGAAATCCCGATAAACCCCGGAACGGCTGATGGAAATCCCAAAAAACCCCAAATGAGCGATGGAAATCCCAAAAAAACCCAGAATGAGTGATGGAAATCCCAAAAAAACCCAGAATGAGAGATGGAAATCCCAAAAAAACCCAGAATGAGAGATGGAAATCCCAAAAAATCCAGAGTGAGCGATGGAAATCCCAAAAAACCCAGAATGAGCAATGGAAATCCCAAAAAATCCAGAATGAGCAATGGAAATCCCAACAAATCCCACAAGGACCAACGGAAACCCCACAGGGATTGATGGAAATCCCAACAAATCCCTCAGGGATTGATGGAAATCCCAACAAATCCCTCAAGGATTGATGGAAATCCTGAAAAATCCCTCAAGGATCGATGGAAATCCCACAAGGATCAATGGAAATCCCAATAAATCCCACAAGGATTGATGGAAATCCCAAAAATCCCAGAATGACTGACGGAAACCCCAATAAATCCCACAAGGATCAATGGAATTCCCAACAAATCCCACAAGGACCCGCGGTGTCCAAGGGGCCACTCTGGGGGGGAATCCTGGGAATGGGGCAGGGAGGGTGACCAGCCCCGTCCCAGTGTCCCCAATCCTGTCCCAGTGTCCCCATTCCTATCCCGATGTCCCCAATCCCAATGTCCCCAATCCCAGTGTCCCCATTCCCTTCCCAGTATCCCAACTCCCAGTGTCCCCATCCTAATGTCCCCAGTCCCAATCCCAGTGTCCCCATTCCTGTTCCACTGTCCCCATTCCCATCCCGATGTCACCAATCCCAATGTCCCTATTCCCATTCCCACTGTCCCCAGTCCCAATGTCCCTATTCCCATTCCCAGTGTCCCCATTCCCAGTGTCCCCATTCCCAATGTCCCCAGTCCCCTGTTCCCACTGTCCCCATTCCAATCCCAATGTCTCCAACCCCGGTGTCCCCATTACCAATGTCCCCATTCCGTCCCTCTGTCCCCATCCCAATCCCACTGTCCCCATTCCTGTTCCACTGTCCCCATTCCCATCCCGATGTCACCAATCCCAGTGTCCCTATTCCCATTCCCACTGCCCCCAGTCCCAATGTCCCAATCCCATTTCCAGTGTCCCCATTCCCAATGTCCCCAATCCCCCGTTCCCAGTGTCCCCACTCCTAATCCAGTGTCCCCATTCCCATCCCAGTGTCCTTATTCCCAGTGTCCCCAATCCCAGTGTCCCCTTTCCTGTTCCCAGTGTCCCCATTCTCATTCCCATGTCCCAAATTCCATTCCCACAGTCCCCAATCCCAAAGTCCCCATCCCATTCCCAATGTCCCCAGTCCCAGTGTCCCCAGTCCCATCCCAGTTGTCCTCATTCCAGTGTCCCCATTCCTAGTGTCCCCATTCCTAATCCAATGTCCCCAATCCCATTCCAATGTCCCCAACTCCAACGTCCCTTTCCCACTGTCCCCGTCCCATTCCCACTGTCCCCAATCCCAATCCCAGTGTCCCCATTCCCAATGTCCCCAGTCCCATCCCAATGTCACTAATCCCAGTGTCCCAATCCCATTCCCACTGTCCCCAGTCCCAATGTCCCCAATCCCAGTGTCCCCATTCCTAATCCAGTGTCCCCATTCCTAATCCAGTGTCCCCATTCCAATCCCAATATTTCCAATCCCGGTGCCTCCATTTCCGATGTCCCCATTCCTGTCCCCGTGTCCCCATTCCCAGTGTCCCCAATCCCATCCCAATGTCCCCATTCCCATCTCAATGTCCCCATTCCCATTCCCAACGTCCCCATTCCCAATGTCCCAATCCCAGTGTCCCCATTCTCACTGTCCCCCTTCCCAACGTCCCCATTCCCATTCCCAACATCCCCATTCCCATCTCACTGTCCCCAATCCCAATGTCCCCAATCCCATTCCCAATGTCCCCAATCCCAATCCCAATGTCCCCCATTCCTGACCCCATTCCCAGCCCAAAAATTCCCAAATCCCAACTTCCGCTCTCTCCGGCTTTATTAAAGGCGGGAAAGCAGAAAAATTCCCTAAAAAAAAAAAATTATGGGATTTCCCTCCCCAAATTCCCAGAGCTGTTTCCTTCCCCACTTTGGGAACGTTCCCAAAAATCCCCGAGGGTTTGTAGGATCACAAGGATTTTCTGGAGCATTTTGGGGTCCCTGCTTTGATTCCAGTCTTGGATTCCGTCGGGAAACGGGGGAAAAACCAGGAAAAACGGGAAAATTCGGGATAAAAAAGATTCCAAAGAGTCCTCGTGGCCTCCCCGCTTTTTATTGGGAAAAGGAATTTTGGGAACGCAGCGGAGCCACCTCGGGAACATCCCGGGAAAGGGCACGGGCGACGTTCCTGGGATCCGGCTGCCGTCAGGATCTGTGGGAAAATCCCCGAAAATTCCCTGGGAAATGGGAAAAATTCCAATTCTTGCCCCAAATCCCAGAAAATTCCATGGAAAATGAGCAAAACCCCAATTCCCACCCCAAATCCCAGAAAATTCCATGGAAAAGGAGGGAAATCCCAAATCCTGCCCCAAGTTCCAGAAGATTCCATGAGAAAGGAGGGAAATCCCAAATCCCATAAAATTCTGTGGAAAAGGAGGAAAAAACCAAACCCAAATGGGCAAATCCTGGAAAATTCCATGGAAAAAGAGCAAAATTCCAATTCTTGCCCCAAATTCCATAAAACTCTGTGGGAAATGGGGAAAATCCCAAATCCCGCCCCAAATCCCAGAAAATTCCATGGAAAAGGAGGAAAAATCCAACCCCAAATGGAGAAATCCCGGAAAATTCTGTGGGAAAGGAGGAAAATCCCAAATCCCGCCCCAAATCCCAGAAAATACCGTGGGAAATTTGGAAAACCCCAAATCCTGATTTTTTTCCCTGACCTTCACCCCCAAAAACACCACCAGAAAAAAGCGGAAAAAGTGGGAAAAAAGCAGGAAAAAGTGGGAAAGTTTGGGACAAAAAGGGAAAAGAAGTGGAAAAATGCAAAAAGTGGGGGAAAAAGGAGAAATTTGGGGGAAAAAAAGCAGGAAAAAAAACAGGGAAAGAGGAAAAAGGGGGAAAGTTGGGAAAGTGGAACAATGGGGTTTTTTGGGAATCAGGGATTTTGGGATCAGGGATTTTTGGGGCGGTTTTGGGGCCATTTTGGGGCGGTTTTGGGGCCGTTTTGGGGTCGGGGTTTTTTAGGGTCAGGGATTTTAGGATCAGAGATTTTGGGATCAGGGATTTTTGGGGTCGGGGCCATTATGGGGTGGTTTTGGGGTCAGGGTTGTTTAGGATCAGAGATTTTGGGATCAGGGATTTTGGGATCAGAGATTCTGGGATCAGGGATTTTGGGATCAGGGATTTTAGGATCAGAGATTTTGGGATCAGGGATTTTTGGGGTCGGGGCCATTTTGGGGTGGTTTTGGGGTCAGGGTTGTTTAGGATCAGGGATTTTGGGATCAGGGATTTTGGGATCAGAGATTTTGGGATCAGGGATTTTGGGATCAGGGATTTTAGGATCAGAGATTTTGGGATCAGGGATTTTGGGATCAGGGATTTTTGGGGTCGGGGCCATTTTGGGGTGCTTTTGGGGTCAGGGTTGTTTAGGATCAGAGATTTTGGGATCAGGGATTTTGGGATCAGGGATTATTAGGGTCGGGGCCATTTTGGGGTGGTTTTGGGGCCATTTTGGGGCCGTTTTGGGGTCGGGGTTTTTTAGGATCAGGGATTTTAGGATCAGGGGCATTTTGGGATCAGGGATTTTTAGGGTTGAGGCTGTTTTGGGGTCAGGGCTATTTTAGGATCAGGGATGTTTTAGGCTCAGGGATTTTAGGAGCAGGGATTTTGGGGGTTGAGGCCGTTTTGGGGCCATTTTGGGGCTGTTTTGGGGTCGGGATTTTTTAGAATCAGGGATTTTAGGATCAGGGATTTTGGGATCAGGGATTATTAGGGTCAGGGCTGTTTTGGGGTCAGGGATTTTAGGATCAGGGATTTTAGGTTCAGGGATTTTTGGGGTTGGGGCCATTTTGGGGTGGTTTTGGGGCAGTTTTGGGGTGGTTTTGGGGGCAATTTTGGGGGCGGTTTTGGGGCAGTTTTGGGGGCGGTTTTGGGTTGGTTTTGTGGCTGTTTTGGGGCGATTTTGGGGC